ACCCACGGGCTCAGGCAGTCCACTCACCTCAGCCTCCCAAAGTGCTGGGATTACAGGCTGGGCCACCGAGCCCGGCTTCCAGAGGCATTTCAAAGCCTTCTGCCATACCAACCTAATTATACTGACTGGCCATGCATTTTCAGCACAAGAATTTCACTAGCTTCAACATACCATGCTTAAATACACTATGAAATTTTCTAGAACCAGCAGCATTTCCACAAGTTTTAGTTTATCACCCAGTGCAAAAAATTATACACACAAAAGGGAAACACATACTTGGTCAAGATTGTATCTTTAGTTTTTTAGTTTTTTTTTTTAAGACAGTCTTGCCGGGCTCAGTGGCCCAAGCCTATAATCCCAGCACTTTGGGAGGCCGAAGTGAGAGGATTGCCTGAGTCCAGGGGTTCAAGACCTGCCTGGGCAACTTGATGAGACCTCATCTCTACAATCAATCAAAAAATTAGCTGGGTGTGGTGGCTCACACCTGTAATTCCAGCTACTTGGAAGGCTGAGGCAGAAAGATCGCCTAAGCCTAGCAGGTTGAGGCTGTGGTAGCCCTGAGTGTGCCACTGCACTCCTGCCTGGGCCGATAGAGTGAGTCTCTGACTCAAAAAAGACACAGTCTCTCATGTTGCCCAGTTTGGCCTTGAACTGTTGGGCTCAAGTAATCCTCTTGCCTCAGCCTCCCAAGTAGCTGAGATTACAGGCACACACTACCATGCCCAGCTCCAAGATTGTATTTTTATTTTTTTAATTTTAATTTTATTATTTTTTGTAGTCAGAGTCTCACTCAAGGTCGGGGTGTGGCACAAGACCCCCTTCACCAGGAATGTGGTTCTGCATATGATTTTGCAGACAACATGGGGGGAGGTCGCAGACTCCATGAGGACCATATGTGGAGCCAAAGTTAAGACCATGGTGCAATGTGTGGTGTTTGACTTTTAGCTCGTTTCCCCGGAGAGAATTCTGAAGGCTAAGTAATAAAATGAACCTCCTTGTTCAAATCTCGGCTCTGCCTCTCAGTGGTTGTCTGGCCTTAGGAAATTTGCTTTCCCTTGATAAGCCTCAATTTTCTTATTTGCTTCATCATGTGGTTTTGTGGATAAAGGAGGAGAACTCAAAAAGTGCCCGACACATAAGAGTGTCCCACTTCTTCCTGGAAGGAGTGACTCAAACCCACCAAACTGGCAAGAAGACACAGTGTCAGTTTGGTTATATTTAGAGCTATTCTGGGTTGAGAACTGAAATGTGGTAAAAGTAGGTCCATCTGATGACAAATGGGACATGGTGCATAGAGCATGGAATGAGGTGATTTGTTGAAGGCCACCTGTGTGCCAGAAGGGCTGCTTTGTCACTGGAGCAAGCTGTCATCTCCATCCTGCCTTCTGAGGAGCCTGGAAGCTAGAATTGGACAGTCACGCTTGGAAGGCACAGGCCAGCCCTGGGGAGCAGTGGGGCTGGGTAAAAGTGATTCTGTGACGGCAAACCTGCCCTCCCCATCAGGTACTGCTTCTTCAGGTAGAGTGGCAGTTCATGGTTTTCAGGGTTTTGAAACTGTGTCTATGAGACTCTGGTTATGGTGCTAGGTTTCAGCAGTTCTGTGAGTGAGTGTTGCATGGTTAAGAGCTCTGTGATTTAGAGTGAGACCCAGGTTTGCTTCTCAGCTCATCAATTTTCTAGCTGTGTGATCCTAACCTCAGTTTCCTCATCTCTAAAAAGAAGTTTGTGCTATTGATATAATACATAAACTGGAATATATTTCAGCCATAAAAAGAAATGAAGTACTGATACTGCTATTACACGGATGAACCTTGGAAACATGCCAAGAGGATGATTCCATACATACATTTATATGAAGCACCCAAATAGGCAAATCCATAGTGAATGTAAATTGGTGGTTTCTAGGGGCTGGCATGGGGAGGTATGGAGACCAGTTGCTTCATGGGTACAGTCTCTTTTGGGGGTGATGGAAATATTTTGGAATTAGATAAAGATAGTGGTTACACAACATAGTGAATGTCCAAAATGCCACTGAATTGTTCAATTTAATATGGCTAATTGTATGCGATAAGGCTCACCTCAAAAAAAAATTTTTTTAAGGGAAAAAAATACTGGTTGTCAACCCCTGGGTTTCTGGAGGGTTAGGTGGATGATCCCAGTAAGGTCCTTGGCCCCATGCCTGGCAAGTATGCAC